ATAAAAACAAAGAAAGCTAAAGTGCTAAGCCATTGCTAACAAAAGCCAAGGTGCTAAGCTAATGCTGGAAAGGAAATATGATGAGGGGGTGCCATTAAAACAATAAAAACAAAGAAAACCAAAAAAGGAATGTGAGATGGGGGTGCCATTAAAACAATGAAAACAAAGAAAGCTAAAGTGCTAAGCCATTGCTAACAAAAGCCAAGGTGCTAAACTAATGCTGGAAAGGAAATATGATGAGGGGGTGCCATTAAAACAATAAAAACAAAGAAAACCAAAAAAGGAATGTGAGATGGGGGTGCCATTAAAACAATAAAAACAAAGAAAGCTAAAGTGCTAAGCTATTGCTAACAAGAAAGCCAAGGCGCTAAACTAATGCTAACAATTATATGACAGTGACACATGATAAAGGACAATTTGTACATAGGACTAGTCGACTTTATATTGAATTTCGTTGATGCTAATATGGAAGCTAACATTACGCTATGGCTAAAGCTAATGATGGCAGTTCAAGGACACAACAGTGGTTGCCCTGGAGATCGACCAAGTGCATGATGGGAACCAGGAAGTCAGACCAGGCAGAGCACATGGAGCACAGGGAGCAGGTGGCAGACAGACCAGAGAGGAAACCTCATTCGAAGAACAAGGTGCAGGTATGTGAGAATACATGATAACAAACATAGGAAACGACTGAAGGAGAAGCATTTATGGGATGATATTAATACTCTAAACTTGCAGAAGCTAAAAGTCAATAATTGTGAGTTAATGAGTGAAATTTTCAAAGTCACGGACATACGTTAAAGTTCCATGAACCCAAATAGGGCCTCATTAGCTCTCTAAAAGGCGATTAAACCTGATGATGTTAGTACTTTAAACTTGCAGAAGCTAAAAGCTAATAATTGTGAGTTAAGCAGGACATATGGATCATGCAATCAATCGGAGACCTCCGCGTCTCCGTGGCTGGGGTAGTCGCAGGCGGCCTTCGGGCACTGCCTTCGTCCCCCCAAGCGCAGACATGCAATCAATCGGAGACCTCCACGTCTCCGCGGCTGGGGCATTCGCAGGCGACCTTTGGACACTGCCTTCGTCCCCCCAAGCACAGACCGCCCGGGGTGGCTCTTGAGTGAAATTCTCAAGGTCACGGACATACGTTAGATTGCCATGAACCCAAATAGGGCCTAATTAACTCTCTAAAAGGCGATTGAACCTGACAGGGCCTGATTGGCCTCTTGGAAACTTTAAAAATTAAAGCCCAGAAAGGCATTAATTAATTACTATTATCTTATTTAATTGATGACACACTCCAAGGCGTGATCAACCTTGGGAGGGCCTTCCTTGGAGGAGGATGTCTAGTGATAATGGCCGAAACATCCAATGATTCCAGGGTCCACTACTGATGATGTGTCCTAAATATTACCTTAAAATCAAATTAATGAGACTATAAAAAGATAATACAATAAAATAAGGAATAGAGTAATGAGGGAAAAGCCGTGGGGGACCTTGCCGCCCGGGATGGGAGCAGGCATGGCCAGTGCATTGGAGCCCGGCCCCCTTCGGGGACCGGACTCCCAACTTATTTCTCCCCTAACCCTAACCCGACAAAGGTCAATAAGACAAACACGTAATCAGGACAAAACAATAAAAGGAGGATGGAGGACACAAAACAATTGGACAAAAACACAAAAGTCAATAAAGACATACATATAATTGGGACAAGAAATTAAAAGGAGGATTTGGAGGATACAAAACAATTGGACATAACACTAAAAGATAGGACAAAACATTAAGGATATTAAACAGAAAAATAAGGAAACGGAAAGCCCAAGAGTGGGAGGAGACAGCACACTATAAAAGCCAAGGGAGGCACACAGAAAACACATTCAGACATGTTGGGCCAGCCTGAGGAAGGCCTATATCGGCCGAAACGTCGCGACGGCCCAAATGATCAGAGAAAAACAAAGAATAACGTACACCAAATAACGGAAAGGATTTAAAGGAAGGGGGTGCCATAAACACAAATAGAGTGAACAAAGGACGGGATGTCAAAAAAGACAGGGGGTGCCAATAAGAGAAAAATAGAAAGAAAGTGTTGAAAGAAAACAAAGAGAAAAACAAGTGTAAACAAAGAGAACAACAGTGAGACAAACAAAGATATGAAAGAAAGCAAAGTGAAAAGACCAGTGAGTCACGTAAAAAGAAAAAGAGAAAACCCAAGAAAGGGAAAACAAATAGAGAAAAAAAGAAGTAAAGATAAAGAGAAACAAAGAAAAAAGGAAACACAGAAAGAAAGCAAAGTGAAAAGACAAGCAAGTCACGTAAAAAGAAAAAGAGAAAACCCAAGAAAGGGAAAATAAAGAGAAAAAAGAAGTAAAGATAAAGAGAAACAAAGAAAGGACACATAAAGTACATTATTAAAACACAAAACAAAATTACATTAATAACCTAATTGCGGGTAATTTTTGGAGACGGGATAGGGACATCATACCGGTCCGTTGGACGATCACAGCCTCTTGGGGCATGCTATGGGGGGCCCTGACGCCCGGGATGGGAGCAGGTATGGACAGTGCATTTGGAGCCCGGCCCCCTTCGGGGACCGGACTCCCAACTTTGATTTCCCCTAACTTTGCCCGTGCCTCGTGGGGGTGGGAGATGCCCCTGCCTGTCCCAAACCCTAAACCTAACCAGGGGGGGTTTGAATTCAACTTAGAAAAAAGAAAAACCTAAAAAAAAAGGGAAAAGAAGTGAAAAAATACTTACCTGTCGCAGAACCTAAAAAAAAGAAGAAAAAGTAAAGTTAAAAAAATACTTACCTGTAAAAACCTAAATAAAAGGAAGAGAGTCACACTTACCAAGGCCAGTCTGAAGAAGGCACATCATAGCCGAAACGTCGCGAAGGCCTATAGACAGTTAACCCAAGACATGGGTAATTTTTGGAACACCCGGGCAGGGTCTCCACCTCCTGGCAAGAACCCTCGGCCCCCACGATGGACAGTGCCTGTCAGGCCCTTGGTGGCCTGTTTTCACCTAACCCTAACCTTAACCATTTTAACCCTATATTGGAATAACCCTCAGCTCCATACTCCACCCTCCCTCCCTCCCTCTCTCTCTCTCTCTCCCTCTCTCACTCTCTCTCTCTCTCTCTTACCTCTCGCTCTCCCTCGCTCTTCCCCCCCCCCCCCTCTCCCCCCTCCCCATCTGGGGCTGATCACAATGACCCCCATCTTACCTTCCCCTAACGGGTCACCTGGGGGATGGACCGTGCGGCCCCCTTCGGGGACCGTGCTCCCAACTTTGATTTCCCCCCAAAAACGGAGTTTTCAAAAATATCCACCCTGGCCGGAGTTTTTAAAAATCTTCGTTTTCAGTGACCAAAAACGCCGTTTACATGTGGACGAAAGGTGCAAACGCACAGAAAAATCTGCGTTTTCAAAAATACCCGGCTACGTGTGGACGTAGCCTGAGCATGCACCAGTTTATTGTATTTCCAGACTTGCTTTCGGCACAATTTACAGTGAACGCTACTCTGTTTTTTGTCAGACTTGAAATAGAAGAAATAACTTCACACTACGGAACTTCTATGGCTCTTCCGTTCGACAATCTGTCCGGCATTGGAACCATCATCTGTTTTCTCTTCGGTAACCTTTGGTCACGCTCGGTTGATTTTTCTAGTCGGCACACTCATTTCCTCCATTACCCGGGCGGTACGGTGGCTGGCTGCTTCCCAAACAAATACACATGTGCGGCTTGGCACTTATGCTGTACGTAACAAGTCACATGACGTGACGCTGCAGCTGTGATTGGTTCGGCTCTGCGCTACTTAATTTGGATTGGCTGGTCTTTTTTTTTTTTTTTTTTTTAAGAGGACAAAAGCGGCGAGGTATATCGCAATAGTTTAATTTTTCTATTGAGAAAAAGTTATATCGCAATACATATCGTTATCGTTCTATCGCCCAGCTCTACACAGAACCATTTCACATCACTTGTTTAACATGAACTCAGAATATACTCATACTTACAAGCATATATTTGTCATGCTCCAGTATAAACAACTTTGAGACTAGGAATTGGTGTGCTGATGGCACTTTAGTCAGATTCCATTAACTTTTGCTATTTTTAATATACAAACTACAGTACACAAACCCACTTTCTCCCCCTAGTGGCGTGGTGGAGCTACTGCACCCCAGCAGTGGCAGTACACTCTTTGTGTAGTTTATATATGAATGAAACAAATACAACTAACACAATTAATCAAAAAAAAATTAATACTACATAGCAAAAGGAAACTATTCATTGTTACTATTCAGGCTTAAACTTAAGTTAGAAGGGGACGAAATTTGTTGAATAAAAGAAGGAAGGAAGTTTAAAACATAAGCCAAATGCCAAATAAAGAATAAAGAGAAACAGGATCACAATAGTGTCAATGCCTCATGGCTTAATTGTGTGTTCATTCTTCTACACAATAAGTTAGAAGAATGAAGAACTAGAAAAAGTTCAATTTCCTGTAAAATTGCAGTTTGAATACTGTGTAGTGGAATCCGAAAACAGCAGAAGGAGAACTATCTACTGACGGCGGCTGCTCATCCCACTGAGCCAAACCAGCTCTCGTCCCAAACAAAGATATGATGAGAAAAAAAAAATGTGCAAGGTGTCAAAGAAGCTGAATTATGCTGAAAAATGGTGAAAAGCTGAACTGGATATTAAAACATTGACTAAATAATAAACACATTACATATTTTTAAAAAAAATTAGCAGAAATATTGATCAAGCAAATCAGTCAGATGAAAAGACTGGACAAGCGGAAGTTCTGTCAGCTTGAACTGTCTACCAAAAACATGTTGCCATGGGCGAGATTTGAGATTCAGAAAAGAGCAGAAGTTGATCTTTTAAAATATGTTGGCATTACATATATATGTAAAAATAAAGTTGACCAGCTCTAAGTACTGTATATTTTTTGATAAAATGAAGAGTAGACTGATATATTAAATAATCATTTATTGGGTGACAAAATCGTGTTATATCATAAATGCTTTAAATCATACAAAATAGATAATAGGCTGACTTTTGCTAAATAGGTCAAAGAAAGTAGAAATGATAGAAACACATAACATCCTTATAAAATATGATGTAATACTATAGATCAACTGCCTTTCATAGTGTTTAAATTTGTAATGAAAAAAAAAGTTGAATAAGGTGGAATCCAACCCACAGCTTTAAGGCTGAATAGGTATTTTTTTTACTCATCACGCTACTGGCAGGAGTGGGAGGTGGGGCTGGAAAACATACTAATAAGCAGTCAGAATCAGACCGTGATGAGAGGCGAAAACCGTTGTTTTTTGGTGTTACAAAATGTTGTGTAAATCAAAAGTAGGTGGGATATTGACATAATTCTTCCACCTTATTAATCAGCACAAACGTAATTTGTGGCTCAACTGTATAACGAATCCTAAAACTACACCTGAACTGTGTGCTGATAATAATATTGCCACAGGTAAGATTGGAGTGTGTGACTCCTCTGCACAGACACAGAGAGCAGCAAACAGGATTTAAGCTCTGAAACAAATGATATCCTTGAGAAAACTATAAGTAATTTTGCAAAAATTCCTTCACCATAAAGAATGAAATAGGATCTCAATAAGTTGACTGCCAAAGGCATTTACCCAATAATAATAACAATAAGCAGGGAGTATTAGTTTAGATTGTGGTAACACAAATAGTGAAATTACAGAAATTACAGTGGTGACTTAAGAGCAGAAACTTAAGCACATGTTGAGAATCTTTATTCAGATCCAGATTCCAGATAAATTTCATCATCATCCCACTTCCACACAGGTATAGAAGTCTGTCTAGGAGCCACACCACTGGAACATGGCGTATAATAGCTGCTTGTCTCCAAACAGTCGTTAGTGATTTTGAGGCAACTAAAGCAGAACTCCACATTACAGCGGGTACAGAAGACATTTTTGCACCCATGTGTGTTATGTTCCACTAGGAAGCCACATGTGGGACAAGCACGGAATAAGGGACAGCCAGTAATGCCCTCCACTTGCTTGAAAGTGATGACTGGACACGTTCTGAGTTTTTCTAAGGAGTTATTGACACAGCCATCATTTTCACATCGGTCTGAACGTGGGGACGGACCTTTCCATTCCCTCAAACACTGCCAGCAGAACATGAAGGTCTGACCCAGATCAGTTGTGCACACTATACATTCAACACACAAATCACTGAAGTCAGTTCTCAGCACAGACGACTTGCACCCAGGACACTGTTAATGGGAAAAGATTATATTTTTAATGCACAACCTTTCAACAAATATGTTGCAGAAATAAAAGCTGTGTAATTTACAAACTTACTGATTTGACATTAAAAACATCTGTTGCGTTGCTGAACATTTTCTTTTCAAAGTACTCGATTTCTTCAGGGGTTAGAAGAGCCATTTTACAAACCTCTTCAAAGGACCACTCATCATCACAGTCTGTTTGGCCACACACGAACCTGTTCGCACCCTGAAACCAGAGGGTGATATCAATGAAAAACTTAAATTTTTAACACTATGTCAATGAGAAAATAAATGAACTACAGTTGAAATGTGTATTCAAAAATCTTCTTTATCATAGATGGATTTATTTATGTGAGTATTTTATTAAACAAGTAAAGAATAAAGCCACCCATTGGCTGGTCAGTAGCTTTACTGAGTCATGAAAGCGTCTCATTCACAAATGCGTCTCATTCATGAAAATCAAAACTGCCATTTTTTAAACCTGGTAACGAGGGAAATGGCAACAAAAAGGATGCCGTGTTTCCTGAATCTGACAAAAAGCCACAGACCAAGCAGCAGGTATTTTCTTGCCTCGAAGTCCACGTTCATTGTAGCATTTGTGTGCCATATTAACCCTTTAAGACCTACCATAGAACCAAGTCTGCCAGATCTTATATGATATTTATACATGGTGTGGTGCCATTTTTGGGAGCATTTCAAGTTACTATACATCAATACAACAATTATAGCCCAGATTTTAATAATATGTATTCATTAAGTGCATAGTAATTACATAAATTGCAAAAAAGTGCAATAGACTACAAAAAATTGAAAATCGTTTTTGCTTTTTTAACATATATTTCTAGTTAGAGATATTTAAGAGGCTTATCCCTCAAAACTGTAAATACAAAAAAGTTGCACAAAATAGTTTCCTACTACAGGAAATTTATTTTGAGTGTCTTCATAGTTTTATTTTTGAAATACACCAATTTTTATATACTGCAGGAAAAACGAAAATAAATATTATACTGCAAATTTGCAAAAAAGCAGCATATGCATCAAAATAAACTATTTCCAGCAGTGCAATATGAGTCCTAAGCATCCCAGAAAAGACACAGAAAGTCATAAAGTCAAAGATAACTTTTAAAAACACCAGTATAGGCCCTGAGGCCCTGATGGTAAAAAAAAAACTACATTTCCGCGAAAATGACGTCACTTCCGGTTTCGGGCAGGTAATGGCAGACATGCAAAAGTTCACGCTGACGTCTATTCCAATTAGGAAGTGTTATGAACAGCTGATCGGATCAGCAAAGCGTGTTTCTGGAATATTATCTTTTTGTTGCTGCAAATGCTTTTTATGCAGTTTTTGCAAAGCTTTATGTGGAAGGAAACTGTGACCGAGGACAAGCTGATGGCATAAGATGTAAGGACAACTCCTCCGATTTCATATGCAAAAAAAATTATTGCGCTAGCTTACGTGGTTGCAGAGCTACCGGGATTTAAAAATAGTTACGCAAAACAGAGTGTGCCTGCTCCGACCGGCTCTAAAGGGTTAATTAAGTTGTGGGTTGCTCAGACACATTGCTATGACAGTGAGCACACACATCAGGAGGTACTAAATTGTAAATGAAAACCAGTTGATCCAAGTCTAGTCCTGGCTAGCCGATCTGAATAGGTAATAATGGAAAAGGGGATATGCCACTAATAATAATAAACTAGAATTTGCAATTCTGGGATTAATTGCTGTGAGATTGTGGCTACTTGCCGACTTGGACTGTGGGAGCAAAACATTGTAGATGAATACCTTGTTTTTGTAGAGTCAAAATTGATGTGTCTAATAGTGATGTGCGGATCAATCCTGAAATGTCGATTCCTCCGATACCAGTCATTTATATTCTAGAATTGATTCTCAAATTAAAATATTGATATTTTAGTAATTTAGGGTAAATTTGTAGTTTATCATTAACAGGAACACAGTGGAAAGGAACTATAACATTTGGATTGTCTACATTCGAAGGAACTACTTCCTCTGCCGCCTTTCATAGTCATGTGTGAAATACAGCTGTATAAATGTCTCGCAGCCCCTTGGCGTGCGCACTCATAACAATGGCTGGCGTAATTGGAGTCATGTGCGGTCATATTTTACTTCCACAAACAGCTGATACGTGGCTTGCGATACATGTGGCAAAAAAGTGAGGTGTTGTGGCCACAACACCACTAACCTTGTCTAACACCTCAGAGTAAATCATATCACAAAATATGACGAGCGTATGCAGAGGCGAACTGAAGAGAAGGAGAGGGACAGGTGCTGCTAGGCTGAGACAGACATCTCTCATGGAGTCCTTTAGTGCTGCGGGTAGGCAGAGTTTTCAAATAGCGCACAAGTTCAGTTTTTTTATTTCTATATGATGAACTCTGCATTATTAAGTGATAAGAACAAGTAATCCGATGTCCTGTAATCAGAAAGGAAATCAGTAGTATCACACATCACTAGTGCCTAATTAAGTGGCATATATTGTGAAATGTATGTATGTTTTTGTTAATCATACTGTTAGGTGATAATGTGAAAGACAGCAAAAAAAGTGTGTGAAGCTGTAGTCGGACGGACGACCTTCAGCTTCTTTCCAGCTGTTGTTTTGCAACAAACCCACTAATAAATGGCCTGTATTTGTAAACAAACCCACCAATAATAAACAACATTTTTAAACAACATTTTTAAAAATGGCTGACAAAAATTAAGTCCCTTTTTTATTAATACCTACCCAGATCAACTCTGATCAGCTGGTTTTCCATTACAATCGAGTACCACCTAATCCACTTGATCATTAAAGCAGCGTTTCTGAGCGTCCCTTGATGTAATTGGTACATGACACAAATGCTACAACAAAGGTGGACGTTGAGGACATATACCTGCTGCTTTATCTGTGGTATTTCCGGACCACAGTGTTTTGTTTTGTTTTTTGTAGCCATTTACCTAGTTGCCATGTTTTGATTTTTATGAAGGAGACACTCTCATGACTCACCAAGTGACACCACTGAGAAGCCAATTGATGGCATTCAGTCTGACAATACAAGCTCTGAAGAGTGGACCTGGACTTCCTTGTTATTAGGGATGTCAGTCAAATAAACCAGTAGCTTACTTGGTCCAACAAACGGCGACACCATTTGGTGAGAGACATGGGAGTGACAGTGTGACCACAGGACATCTGCGCTTTCAGAGACTTGAAGTCCTCACACAAAACTATAGACACAAAATATCCCAGTGTTACTGGCTTTGAAAACAGATTTAATAAAGTGAATTTTTGAGTACTTACAATCCATATCATCAATTGCATCAACAAATGTTAGTGTGCTGTCTTCAGGGTCGTAAAACTTCTCCTGTTGAGAATCACTCCTCTCTCCTTTAGTAAAATAGTTGCTGAGTTCATCATCATAATCCTTCCCAGCTCCAGTAGCTAAATCACTACTTGGTTGTTGGGAATCACTCCCCTGTGGTTCATATTCCAAAGAGCCTGTCATTTGCACAGAGGCATTATTTGTCTGTTCATTTGCCAAGTTGCTACTTGGCTGTGCAGGGTTATTGTTGCTCATTTGTCCTGAATCAAAAGTCTCTTCTTGTTTGGTTGCCAAATCAATGGGAATCACTGCTCTTGTCTTCAGTTGCTATGTTTTCTTAACTCTCTTTTGGATCCAGTCAGATTTTCCTTCACTTGCTGGGAATCATCAGTCTACTATTGAGTTTCCAAACTGCTCCTCAGCTGAAAGAGAATTAACGTTTCTTTTCAGTTGACAAATTATTGTTGGTTCACAATAGTCCCTAATATTTGAGACTCCTTCTGTATCCAGAGTCGGTTTTGTTAGGTTCAAGTGTAGAAACACTCTGTCTGTTTTTTTTGTTTGTTTGTTTGTTTTTGCTGTTAGTTCATTAGAAAAACTCATTCACTAATTTTGTCTTTTTTTTTTTTTTTTTTTTTTTTTTTTTTTTTTACTTTTTTTGAGTTGGTGTTCTTCTCTTCAGTTGTAAACTTGCAGCCTGTTTGGTCCACTGAATTCAAACCTTTCTGAAATAAGTAATACAGGTGAAGTGAACACAGGTGTTGCGTTTTGATTGCCAGACTTTTTTAAACAAGAAATTATAAAACTCGTTGGAACAAAGTTTTAATTTCTACTGTGTTCATATTGTTTGTCCCAAATCGACACACATCATACAACATTGTCTTAAACTTTAAACATTGTTGTTGTTGTATGGAACAATGTATTAGATAATCTTACCAACAATCCAGTAAAGTGAAAGACTGAATAAGCAGCTCTGCAGACTTCAGCACAAATCTTCTATGATGACATTTTCTAAAATTCTTTGTTCTTACGGTGACTCTACAGGAAGATATATATTAAAAGATTTTTGAGCAGTAAATCTCCAGCTCACAGAAATTCTTCTTCACAAATAGAACAGAGACACTCACTAGATTCAAATTCTCAACTTCCTGGTTGCTTTTATCACCTGCTGGCTGACTTACAGCTACTTTGAAACCAGTTTTGCAGAAGTGTTTTTCCTTCAGCTTGCATGTGCAGCTCTGAGTCATCCAGTATGAACATAAACTACAGACAAACTCCATGATTATAAGATTTAAGGGCATTTTAAAGAGTCTGCATGATTTAACTAAGCATGAAAACCATTAACAGTAACATAAAATGTTCACTCTACATACCCACCACTAATTTATCCACTTGCATCACACTGTAATACCCTTATTACATTGCTAATTTGGTTTAAAGAAGTTAAGTTTTAAGATAAAAATAAAGGATAGCGATACATGGGTTGTCTCGATAGTTAAAATACCAAGAATCAAAGTATTGACTCAAGGGGCTGAATAATTACACACACCCCACTTTTCAGTTATTTACTTGTAAAAAATGTTTGGAATCATGTATGCTTTTTGTTCCACTTCTCACGTGTACACCATTTTGTATTGGTGTTTCATGTGGAATTCCAATGAAATTGAATCATGTTTGTGGTTGTAATGTGACAAAATGTGGAAAAGTTCAAAGGGGCCGAATAATTTTGCAAGCCACTGTAACAAGGTGTTCATGTTGTTGCGCTTCATTTTCGAATTTGTCATTGAAAATGAATGTCCCCTGAACTATTTTTTTAACTGTCTAGCACTTACAGTAATGTGATACAACAAGGAACAAAAATAAGTTGGTGGGGAAAGGCTTTAACAAGAATGTAGTCAGGCTACAATCAGTCACCACTTGGAAAAGGCAAAAACAAGTATAGCTGGAAATGACAGGCTATTCTTACACAGCAGTGAACTTTAAAAAAAAAAATATGCAGGCTATGATAATGCATTAATTACTTCTGAGTTTCACTAATTCCTTATCATCAGGTTGTTCTAAAGAGCTACATAAAAAGGTTTAATAGTTCTTATAAAACAAGCTTATGATGGTCATGACAGTGCATCAGCTATGGGTTTTTCAGTTAGTAAAATAACTTCTGTCACTTGGTTATCATTTGCATACACTGTCATTATTTCATTATTACTTCATTAGTCTGCATCACTTAGTATCAGTTTATCATCAACATTATCATGTATCATTTATCATCTAGTAAATCTGCTTAAATCTTGTATTCTGGAGCACGCAGAATAAAACACATTCCTCTGTAATATTTTATTATGCAAAAGCACCAGCTTCGCTGTGGCTCCAGGCGGTCCACGGTCAGATAAGGACAGCAACCTTTTATTGGCCTGAAACTGACACTCTCACAAACTGCACACTCGGACACACAATTGTTTATGTTCTTAGATACTGATGATTGAAAACATCTGGTTGTAATTCTGGGAAAATGTTGTTGTTCTGGAGATAGAGGAGATAGGGGAATTCGTCTGACGTCATAAATGGCTATAAAACTTTCTGTAACGGGCAGTGAGATGAAGATCGCCTTCCCACACTGTAAAACTGTGTGTGCTTAATAAATCACTTTTTTGGACACTTCCGGGGACTCTATCTGTGCTTATTTTTCCTTCCAAACAAAAAGAACCTCTACATTTTGGTGCCGAAAACCCGGTTTGGAGGGAAAGAAGGACGCGCTGTGAGCGGAGCGCCTCGGGGTGCCAAAAGACGGGTCGAACCCAGGAGAGCCACAACTGAGTGACAGAAACCGCGGTATAAAAAGGTCAGTACCACCTGTTGAATAATTTTTTATCCAAAGGTACTAAATTGGAAGTTAAAACTAAATTGAATGTTCACTCAGGGGGGCCTTCTGTGAGTTCTGCCCGTAGTGATTTTATTTAATTAGGATAATTAGTGGTAAAAGTTTGATAAAATTCTCGTAAAAGTGATTGCTGTTAATTCTGGGGTGAATTTTAAGATAACAGGTTGTGTGTTTAAGTGAATACGTTATGCGCTTAAAGTGATGTGTTATATTTGTTGACTGTGACGTCAGTCAGGCAAAGTTTTAGTTCAGGGTACTCGGTCAAATTGACCAGCAGAACGCGGTTCGGGCATCAAGTGATAACTGGAGGGCGGACAGCCCACAGTGATGCTTTTAAAAGTATATAAATTGATTTAGGACTGGAGCACGGCTCCGTAGAGTGCAGTTTCGTTCAGCGGTTGGCACCGACCCATAGCCGCGGACGCGTGGTTATTTTTAGCCCGGAGTAGCCTTCCGCGGGATTCGAACTCCCGTTAACAGGCAAGGCAAATCTAAGGGTGATTGCCTTTTATACTGCACTGTTTGGGTGGAGGGTGAGACCCGACCGTGCCCATTTAACGTGGCTGGCTTGTGAGTTTTAAGTAAAGCAAAAGGCGTGGGTTTGACATCAGCGCCGGACGTGGAGCTCCTCTCTCAGCGGCGGGAAGCGGTTATAAATTAAGTAGGGCTTAGAAATCTGACCGCGGCCGGTGAGGGCGTTCCCGACGCGGCGTTTATTGACCAGCAAGGCGAGGCCTGGGCTTAGATGCTTTTAAATTAGTCAAAAAGTTAGGAATATCGGTATAGAAATAAAAAGGGAAATAAACGAGAAAGGTTGTTCTGGCATGCGGTGTGTTTATGTGATACAGGCCTGGGTATGTAAATAAAGTGTAAATCGGCTGTGTAAATTGCTTATGTTGAGTATCATCTGCGTGTGCTGTGAAAAAGATTTAATACAGAAGCTGTGGTTTGTGAGAATTTGTGAAGTGCATGTGAGGCGCGGCCGCGCACTTTGTGTGTTTGTGAGAGGAAAAAAGGTGGGGGCCAAGTGCTGTGTGTGTGGTGGAGAAAGGAGAAAAGGAGAAAAAAGGAAAAGTGTCTCTCTCTCTCTGTCTCAGGCAGCTGCAAGGAGGGGGGCCGTGTATGGGCACATGGAGTATTAAAGGAAAATAAGGGAAAACTGTTTTTCTCTATTTGTCTAACTGTTCAACACGGTTTTTTTCTGTTTGTTTAATTCCTCCAATTTCTTCTTTAGTTTTATTTCCCTATCTAGGTGATTTTGTTTGTGGGGTGAAGAAAGCTAATCAAAGTCTCGCCAAGTGTGTGGGTGTTTCGTATTACGAGCTCTAGGAAGCTGAATATAGTTGTTTTGTCCTGTTTCTTGTGGTGTGGTTGACTATATAAAAGCAATAAACTGTGTGATTGCTGGGTGATTTTTGGCTTTGTTTCCAGGAGTGTATAGGTGTGTGGTTTGTCTTTGTTGATATTTTATATATAGTGAGCAGGTTGATTTGAGGGGATTTCTCCCGTTTAGGGGAGGAGTGTCTGTGTGGTGTGGAATTATTTTATGTTAAAACTTTGTTGAAGGTGTGTGAGTGTGAATGTTTGCTGGTTTTCTGTGGTTAAATTGAGGTAGTGGATTTTTAGAGGTTTTGGGGTGTTGTAACTTAAGAGCTTTAAAGGAGAGAGTGAGTGTGTGTGGGTGCGGCTCAGACGAAGGGAGCAGTAAGCCGGTTGGGTGCGTTTGAGCCTGAGAGGGGAAATACGCCGAGCCTACTTCTAAAGGAGGGGCTTTGCAGCGGCCATTTTGGTGAGGGCAAGGTTTGGAGGTGGAGCTAAGTAGCGGCCATTTTGGTGAAGGTAAGTGAGGTCAACAACAAAATGGCTGAAAACAAAATGACTGAGATCGGGAAGGCGACCCCTAGTGGGGAGAAGAACTATAAGCCACTCAAGGACCAGATAGCCCAACTCAAGAAGGCCCTCAAGATCACCTATGGAGGAGCTTCAAAGGAAGTTGCTCGCCAATGTCAAGACATGGTAAAGGAGGTGAAGAAATTATGTGAGGAGCAACAGATAACGATTGAGGACAAAATACCTTTGCATTCGGTTTTCCAGGAAGGAGCTGAGAAATGTGAAAAGAGGATCAAAGAACTTGAGGAGGAACTTGAGGGGGGTTTTAAGGGGAGAAAAGTGAAGGCAGAAAAGAAACTGATGATGGAGAAACAGGGTAAGTACTGTAAGTATGTGATTGTCTGCTGAGGTGTCTCCCCCTGGATGAAAGACGAGGTCAATGACCCCACGCCAGGGCTGGCAGAGGAAGCCCAGGCTGAGGGGAGGTTATATCCCAGTTTGAAGGGACTCCCCAGTGCTCCGCCCCCTCCCTACATCTGTCCAGTGCTGACCCTGGAGGGTGGCACTCTTTGGGGACCGGAAGGGAAAACAGGAACAGTTAAAGGGGGAGTTGTGGATTTTCAGGAGGACCCTGCACCATCGACGCCTGCACGGGTCACGGCGGCAGCTACACCGAAAGGGATTCATTTCGAGCCAGAAGCTGGAACATCAACTGGGGGTATAACTATACCAGGTGTGACTTTCCTCCCTCCCTCTCCCCGCCAGAGAGGTCCCTCTCACTTCAGCCCAGAAGGAGCTGAAGAAGCTCAACCTGTGGCTTCCACAAGCGCAGATCAGGTGACACCACAACAGCCTAGGCAGGGAAATGCATCCCAGGAGGTCTGGACTTCAGAGGAAGATATGCCTGCGTCGCAGCCGCAGACGCCATCGAAGGCGAGCCAAAAAGCCTGTCAGAAGCCAGGGGTTGGCGACCTAGAAGAAGGCCAGTGGCAGGGACAAGTAATAGGGAAAATATCTACTAACCGAGAAGCCGTGGTAAGGTTAGAACAGACCTTGAGAGACTTGGAGGAGGAAGGCGTGCCAACACCACGCCTGTTAGCGCAAACGCTCGAAGCATTGAAGAAGGACCTCGCATCCTCAATAGGTAAGTCACGGAAATCCCAAGAAGTGTTGAACCTGGAAACAGGAGGGTTTGCCCCAAGGGTACAGGGTGACCCGGAGAGGAGACTGCTCCGCTCTGGAAGGGCCTTGAAGGACCTTAAAGACAAAAGACAGTCGATCTTTGAGAAGAACCGAAACCAGAGTGTCACATTGCAAACTGAGGAGGGACAGGGGGACGAAGAAGAGTCCCTCTCAATGCCTTTACTGAAGGGTTTAAAGGGCGAGCCAGTATACCAGCCTTATA